CGACACGACGCGCCAGGCAGGCCCGCCGCTCCCGCCGTCACATCCCCGCCCGGACCCGCCGCTCTGCAGGGAGGGGCTCGCAGAGCCCGTACCGACTCCAGGACCTCAGGCCGCCATGACACCGGAAGCGAGAATGCGCTCAGGCCCAACTACCGGAAGTTGGTGAAAAGCCAATCCTGGAGGCTGATGGAGGCGGGCCTAGGAGGGGCGGGGCCTCCATGGGGAAAAAGCTATAATTTGTTTCGCAAAAAAAAAAAAAAAAAAAAGACTGTGAGATATTAAACTTAATTATTTGTCCTGGGAGTGTAGTGCAGTAGTTGAGTGTTTGCCTAGCATACACAAGGAAGACCGTGGGTCCAGTACCCAGCAACACTTACGTCATTTTTTTTGGTTTTATTTATTTTATTTATGAAGATTTATTACATTTGGATTTATAAGTTTGTGTGTTTATTGCCACATGTGTGCGAGAAAGCAGAAGATATCATCTCTGGTGCTGGAGATACAGGTGTTTGTGAGCTGCCTTGTTTGGGTGATGGGAACTGAACCCCTATTCTCAGGAAGAACAGAACATACTCTTAGTCACTGAACCATCTGTACAGCTTTTTTTTTTTTTTTTTTTAGTCCTCGAGACAAGGTTTCACTGTGCAACCCTGGCTGTCCTGGGTCTCACGCTGTAGACCAGGACGGCCTCGAATTCACAAAGTTCCACCTGCTTTGCCCTCCTGAGTCCTGGGACTAAAGGTGTGCACCACCACACCTGGCCTGCTTGCTGTCTTATTTTTAAATTGTCTGTTATTGCAAGCCCAGTGCGACCTACCTGCTTGTTCGTCTGCCTGAAATCCATCATCACTATCTTCCTTTCAAATATACCCCTGATTTTTGTTTAGGACAGTGACATGCATAAAAGAAATACAAGTACTCCCTTCCAGCTGGCTGTGACCACGCCTACAGGTCTGGTCAATGAAAACTTCCCGCATAACTGTCAAGAAGTTGTTGGAAAGTTTTGCTTGACTCACGTATACATTGTGTTTTCTTCCCTGATGTTTCCTTTCTCCTGCTTTAAAAAAAAATAAACAGAAAGTTAAAGACAGATTAGTCATCTTGTGTCCATGCAGCAACTGAAAGAATGAAAGTCAGATACTTACGTATTAATTGTATATAGACCTATTGTTACAAAGAAACCCAAAGTACAGTGTCTAAACATGGAAACATTTCTTCTCTAAAGTAGGGTCTGCCAATTCTCAATGGGGCTTCTATCTTTGGGACCTATGCGTTTATTTTGCTTTTCACTGTTTCATGGTTTTGAGAATGGGGAAAGAGACCAGAGAAGCACAAACCTTATTCCTTTAGCTAGTGCTTAGCTAGTTATATGACCTCAGCTAGCCAACATACAGGCTGGAAAACCCAAGCATAATTCATTTACTAATGGAAGAAGAGGAGAATGGATGTTTAGAGGCAAAAGCAAGTCTACCTCACTCATGTCCCAGCAGAAATATAGAAGGCTTCTGGGTACTTGACAGTCTTGTAAAAATCCATTCTTCTTCCCATAGCCGTCCTCAGACATCTTGCTATGTGTCTGTGTATAGGAGGCTTGGGGGGAGTCTATTGATTTAAGCCTCTTATTGTTTTAACAATTTGACAGGTATTTATTTATTTATTTGTTATGTATACAATATTCTGTCTGTGTGTCTGTCTGCAGGCCAGAAGAGGGCATCAGATCTCAGTTCAGATGGTTTTGAGCCACCATGTAGTTACTGGGTATTGAACTCAGGACCTTTGGAAGAACAGGCAATGCTCTTAACCGCTGAGCCATCTCTCCAGCCCCTTGACAGGTTTTCTAATGCAGGTAAATATGCACAGCCAAGCATTTAGCGTATTAATCATTTTTAACTGTATAGGTGAGCGATATTAAGTACATTCACATTATGCAAACATTACCAACAACCATCCAAAGAACGTGTTTCATCTTGTAGAACTTAAACTCTCTTTCCATTAAACAAGCCTCCAATCCCACTTTCTCCAGCTCCTGACAAGCCACCATTTTATTTTGATTCTCAACCATAGGCCTCCCTGTAGTCTATCTCTTAAATTGGCTCATATGAATCACCATCCAGCATACCACTCAGAATAACACAGACAACCTCTTGATGACCGAATACAAATACCAGCCCACAAGAATTACTAACTGGTGTGTGGTGGCACACACCTTTAAACCCAGCACCCAGGAGACGAGGCAGGCAAGATCTCTGTGAGTTCAAGGCCAGCCTGGTCTACAAAGCAAGTTCCCCAGGACAGCCAGGGTTCCTGCACAGAGAAACCCTGTCTCAAAAAAAAAAATCACTAGCTGACCAAATGACATGAGAGAAGAGGGAGGGAAACTTCACTTTAGCCTCTACCATGCTCCAGTTTCAGCGGGAAGTAGCCAGAACTGAAACTGACACCTATAAATCCCTGGGCCCCATCTCTCACGACTTCCTCTTCAAGAAAGTCTTTCTTTTTATATATGCAAAACATAGAAATATCAGATTACAGAAGCACCTCGGTAGAAGAATCAGCCATGCCTTATATTTTCTGTCTAGCATGCCCACACACCAAGCTGCTAAATTCTTAGTATGATGCAAGCCCAAAATGGGGTGAGAAAATAGACCTAACTTCCTAAATTATGGATTTTATTCTTTACTACTCAGAGAACCCTTCCTTCTAAGCTCACAGACCCTTCCTTCTAAAGTCTATAAATGTAAGATAACTAATTCCTTCCTACTGCGTGTTGCTATTAGATTTCTTATCCCACTATCCACAACTGTGAGTGGCTGGCCTTACTAAAAGATATTCTACCTCAAAGAAAAAACAAACGAAGAAACCCTCACTGGGCCTGGTGGCACAGAGTTGTAATCCAGTTTCTTGGAAGGATGATGTAGGATGATCTCAAATTTAAGATAGGCCTGGACTATTAGAATAGACTCCAGGCCAGGCTGTGAAATTTATCAAGACCCCATTTCATAATATATTTTTTAAAAAAACTTTTAAAAGTTCTTGAGATATATTGTAACTCAGATTGTAGAATATTTGTAGATTATAAGGATACTCTAGATTAACTCTTCAGTACCACCAACATCAAATTTCTAAAACTGTAAGTAGTTTTGAAATAAAAAATTAAATACACAATAATTTGTCTTACTTAACAGTGTCTATTTCAAAACCAGCAGTTTTTCTGATTCTGTTTACTCAGTGAAGTAATTCAACATGGCCTGCTTTAAAATATTGTCACTAGGTTTAGGCTGGAGAGACGGCTCAGCAATTAGGAGATGGCTGCTCACAGAGGTCTTGAGTTCAATTCCCAGCAACCACATGATTTCCCAACTATTCTATAATGGGCTCTGATGCCCTCTTCTGGTATGCAGGCATATATGCAGACAGATCACTAATAAACATAAAATACATAAACAAATAAATATTTAAAAATTGTTGATGGGATGAGGGGGATGGGCCATTGTGTAATAGCACTTTCTGCACTAACACACGGATCTGAGATCAAGCCTAGAGTAGTTATGTAAAAAGCAGACATCGGAGGTATGCTGTAACCTCAGTGCTAGGGACCCTAGAAGTACAGTTAGGGCTCACTGGATGCCAACCTGACACCCTCCTTTGACTTCTGCACATACACCACATACCACAGAAAGAATATACAATTTTACTGAAAGTTTTAGTAGTAAGAGTTCTAAATTTTAAATTAAATTTAAATAAAAAATCTAAAAGGTTTTTAAAATCAGAAACAAACAAACAAACTGGGAACAAAAGATGTCAGTGTTTGTTACAAATAGCTAGTGACTACCTGAACCTTTCATGATCTGGAAAGAAGCACTGAGGAATGTTTGAGTCTTTCTGATGAGACCAATCTCGCAGGCTTAAAGCATAGTGGTGAGCCGGGCAGTGGTCGTGCATGCCTTTAATCCCAGCACTCAGGAGGCAGAGACAGGCGGATCTCTGTGAGTTCAAGGCCAGCCTGGGTCTACAAAGTAAGTTCCAGGACAGCCAGGGCTGTTACACAGGGAAACCCTGTCTCAAACACCACCACCACAAAGCATAGTGGTGGTATTAAAATCAGGATGAACTTGGGAGCAACACTTCATTATCACTTAAAGGGAAGAAAATCAAGTCTACCCCAATGCTTCATGCACACTAGCTTGCTAAAGGGCCCAAGATAGGGCTCAGAAACGTAAGACAAAAAGGTTTTCCTCAGTTCTCCAGATTAGTTTCTTGTCACCTACCCCCTGGCTCTAGTCCTTACTGACAGAACCCCTCCTAAGGGTGCCTGGCACCTGTTCAGCATCTTCCTCCAAGATGGACTAGAAGAGATGGCACATCATCACAGGTTCCAACAAGGATGACCTCCTCAACCAATCTCTGTCGGCGTCTGAGGGTGGACTGTCACGGTCACAAGTAATTCAAACTTCAGAAGTGCTTAGTCTGTGACAAGAAGATGGCACTTCTTTCAGTCTCCATAACAACACAGTAGTTTTTTATAGTAGGAGAAGTGGACACTGAGTCAGAAGTCATTTGCCTAAGGTCACATGCATCATGAAAAAGTCACAAA